CTGCAGAGGGTTTGTAATGAAGTAATTAGAAAGAGTGTGGTTAATTTCTTTTCCTGTTTCCCTGAAAGGTAATACCTGCCAAAAGTACAGATTAGAAGGTAAAGAAAACATCATTATTTCTTCTCTTGGTATATCTTTGGTGGTAGAGTAGAAGATCAAATGTACTAACAAAGCATTTTCTAGAAGTTCTAGTCACCAAATGTCAATGGACAAACACCAGATATCCAAGGCTCAAAGTAGGACTTTCATTTGGAGATCCTAAATAGTAAGAGCTACCTTAAAACCCAGTATGTGTTAAGGGGCCTCAATTCACCTCAGCCAATCAACTGGTTCTTTCTTTACTTGGAATCCCTGAAAAGTAGCCAATCGTGTACAGTGATACTTCATTGTCTTATGCCTTTAAATCATTGATGACAAAAACATTAATCATCAGCGATAATTTTTTTTACAAAAAGAATACCTTATAAAAAAACACTCTTCCTTCAACCTTGCAAAAATAAGTATTTGGACAATACTTTTATTTTTATTTTTTGCTCAGATTAAACCATATCAGCTTCATCATTAGGAAGAACTAATGTTTCTCATTTCATTATTTCTTTATGGCTGGCAGATCCTGTTCAGAAACTAAATTGCCAAATGCTTCCTTTGTCGTCAAAGTGGAATTAAAAGAAAGAAAAAAACTTTAAGAAAAATGATTGCCAACCACAAGAAAGCCAAATAAATCATGCTAGTCTGTGTCATACTTCCTAACTTTGTCAGAAGATACAGGGTTTCTCCTGCTCCAATTTCCTTCCAGCTCTGTTTACTTGCAGACAGGAAACACTGGCTTCTCCGGACGCTGTCAGCCCCTCTGGCAACTTAGTCAGGGATGGTTTCATGACCCAGGCCACTTCATCTGTCAGTGGGGTAATATCTGTTCAAATTCATCTTCCATACCTGACCTAAGACCCAGACTTTTGTAAGCTAGCAGCCAGCCCTTGAGTTTAAAGGTCAAGGGGACTGAAACAATTATCTTAAGCTGTGGAACCAACAGAAAAGAAGCTGGGAAAGAACAGGAAGCAGAAATTTGCAAAATTACCAACTGAGGCCTAACTCCGCTGAATATTTATCAAAATAAACACCAGGAGGGGCTGGGAAGATGGCTCAGTGGTAGAGCGCTTGCCTTGCATGCATGAGGCCTTGGGTTCAATTCCTCAGTACCACATAAGCAAAAAGAAAAAAGCTGGAAGTGGCGCTGTGTCTCAAGTGGTAGAGCGCTAGCCTTGAGCTGAAGAGCTGAGGGACAGCGCCCAGGCCCAGAGTTCAGGCCCCACAACCAGACCCCCCAAAAAAATTAAAAATAAATAAATAAATAAACATCAGGAGAAGTCAAGCAGAGAGGGGAAGATGAATGAAGAGAAGAAATAAGAGAATGCAGTCATAATAGTCAATGCATATGCTAGGAAAATTGGGGGAAGGAGTGGAGTTGAAGGAGGGGGAAGAATGATTAAAATGGATTATACTTATAAAAAAAATAAAAAAAAATAAACATCAGAAATGGAAACATGTTGCTGTTGTTTTCGTGGCTGGCAGGGGTGGAGGTATTCTTTGTTTTTGCTTTTTGTCTTTTTCTTGGGGGGTGTAGGGTTACAGAAATGGAGGGCGGGAGGATGAACAAAGGCAGACATGGTAGTTAGTAAACACAAAGCAGAAAATGAACTATGCAACTTGTGGGCAGGGACTAGAGAGAGAAACTGGGAGAAAACAGAGGAAGGGGTGACACAGTTCATTACCTGACTTAGGAAACCACAACTACTCTATACAGCACATGATAAAAAAAAAAACAATAAAATTACATTTAAAAATGCCCAACTGAGAGACTGAGACTTAAGGTGTGCAGGCTCCGCAAACACACAGGGAAAACCACAATGCTTCCCTCGTCCTGCTCAAGAGGACACTCAGACGTCTGCATCTCAGCATGCCTTCTTCACACCATTCCTCTTCTTCAGTGGCTCAAGATCATCATTTCTTTACTTTTCCATTGGGAACAAGGTGTGTCTAGGATACCACCTAGAACAGCCTCTTCCCTCCACTCCCTACAGGGAACTCTTTGTCCCGGTTAGGGAAATCTTTAAACTATCTTCTATACCAGCCAGGTTCAACAACATCTCATTGCTTTTGTCTTTAGCTACATTACCACATAATGCCAGAATCTTCCCCTTCCCTTCAGCTGTAAAGCTGTTAAGGTGGGATTGGAGAAATCGTTTCTATGAACAGCCCTGATAAGAACCTTCTATTCTTACATAGTCCTAGTTAAGTGATTCAAGTGTACTTTCTTACCCAATCCCCCATGGTTCCTGGCCCTAATCTGCCAATGATACCAAAGACAGATACTTGTTTGCTAGCTGAGTACATGCTGAAGTTCTGACAACGAATGTATCCTTTATGGAAGTTTTCCTCTTCTGCCTTTTAATTCTCACAAGGCCCATTCTATCCCCCTGGTGGCTGACAATCCTCTGACAATGCCTAATCCCATTCCCATGCCCACGTCACCAGTTTTTACCCTCAATTAATTGCTTGGCTTAAATCCTGTCCTTTAAGGACAGTGGTAGAGGCCAAGCCTAAAATGAAGCAGTATAACACACTGGTCCCAAACATCGAATCAGATAAAGCCAGGCATGGTTTCTGGATTCATCACTCAGTATGCATGACTGCTCAGAATGTGACCCAGTCTCTCCATGGCACAATGTCCTGTGCACCACATTAGTCTTATACCCTTACCACAATGTTGCTTTGCCACTGATTAAGCTGACCTATGTCAAGTTTGTAGTCTGGATATGAAATGTTCCCCTAAAAAAGATGCATGTGTGAGAGGCTTGGCCCCAGCTGGTGGCACTGTTGGGGTCCTAATTTCATCAATGGATTTATCTATCAATGACTTCATAGCTATTAGGAAGTAGGGTCTAATTGGAGGAAGAAGATGATTAGGGACATACTTTTCAATGATATGTCTAGTCCTTGGCTCCTCTTTTGTCTCTTTTCAAATTTTACTATTACTGGGTGAACAGCCCCCTTCCACCACCCCGTCCTTCCCCATGATGTTCAGCTAGACCCCACTTCAAGTCAACAGCAATGGCTCTGTGGACCATGGACTTCAACTTCAGAAGCCCTGAGCAAAATCAATCATTCTTCCTTTATGGTGATTTGCATGGATGTTTGTCACAGTGATGGCAGTGACTCACAGCTCAATTAATGATCGTTTTATTTTCTGTCTTTGTGTACTCAGATCTCTTTTCTGAATCTGGGGTAGGCTTAGCAGTCAGAGTAGGAGCTTTGAGATAGAACTCCATAGCTTGGTTCACAGCTGTGAGATCTGCGGAATGCTTCTTATGTCCTGTGCCTTTTGTCTTCCCTATAAAGTGGAGGTAAACATAGTCCCCCTACCTCCTAACTATTCATGAAGATTAAATGTATTAACACATACAAAGAGCTTAGTAAACAATACTGCATGTGATGCCCGCAGTTCTCAGCTAATTTGCAGCTGAGAGGGCATATTTTATATTTTACTATTTTGGGGTTCAAAAATGTGTTTCTTGGGGCGGGAAGGTGGCTCAGTGGTAGAGTGCTTGCCTTGTATGCCTGAGGCCCTGGGTTCGATTCCTCAGCACCACATAAGCAAAAAGAAAAAAGCCGGAAGTGGCGCTGTGTCTCAAGTGGTAGAGCGCTAGCCTTGAGCTGAAGAGCTGAGGGACAGAGCCCAGGCCCAGAGTTCAGGCACCACGACCGGACCCCCACCCCCCCCAAAAAATGTTTTTATTGGAAAAACCAAAGAAACCAATGGAGAATTTAAAAAGTAAGTTCTTGCTGGGTTCTGGTGATTCATACCTGAAATCTGAGTTACTCAGAAGGCTGAGATCTGAGGATCAAGGCTTGAAGCCAGCCAAGGCAGACAAATCCTCAAAACTCTTATCACCAATTAACTACCAAAAAGCCAAAAGTGAAGCTGTGGCTCAAGTGGTTAGAGCATCAGCCTTGAGTGGAAAAGCCACATGAGAGTATGAAGTCCTGGGTTCAAACCCCAGTAATGGAACACAGAGAGGGAGAGAGGGAGAAATAGAGGGAGAGAGAGAGGGGGGGGGTTAGGAGGAATGGGGAGACAGAGACAGAGAGAAAGAATTAAGTTCTGAAACGGGCCAAATAGAAAGTGTTCCCAGAAGCCTTCTTCAAGTTCTACTATGCAATAAGAACCTTCCAAAATCCCATCATGAATTAGATGTAATAACTTATAATGTAGCCTGACCACTGTAATTCACCATCACATTTTGATGGTACATATTTATTAGAGTAGATCATTGCTACCTGATCCCTGAAGGGATCCCTAACAACTGCTGGTTCTGTTTATTCTCTCACTGAGAGTGCCACCTTAGTGGTATTTCTTGAGTTTGGGGATAACATTCTATTCAGCTGAATAGTAGTTATTTAATCATTGAACACCATGTCAGAAGGAGCTCACGTCTTCTGGGAGAGGGGCTTCTACACACATGATTTCCATGAGTGTTGCTGTGTTGCTGGTGACACAGCACAGATAGCACCCAGGGACTTCTAAGTGCAAAGGGGTAAAAGAAACTCAAGGCTTGGTACTGCAGCAGGAGTTTTAGCTCCTTTGTTCTCAAATACCACAGAGTTTCTCCTGATAATAAATTGTACTGGGAGATGCTAGAGACATCATGGAATGAATTGACCTCAGCTGATCCCCTAACTAGATTTTCCTGCTGAAGAATGTGTACCAGGACTAATATATTTTTTAATTCATTTCCTTCTCATGTTGACAAGATCATGTTATCAACAGATCCTTAGTCTAGAAAGTTTATCAGTTTATAAATAGAATTAAAAGTTATCCGAACCTGGAAACCTTTTTTGTTGTTTAAACTAAATTCTTAGTAGTTAGGTGCAGTGATGTCTGACAGCAGAGTCACCATAAAGCATGGACACAGAGGGATCCTGTAGGGTCGGGTACCCACCTGATGGTAAGAGATGGGGACAGGCTTCCGGAAGACAATCCACTCCACAATTTCACTGCAGGGAGGGGTGGTCAAGGAGCCAGTATACCGGTAGTAGCTGCTCAGAGAGGCAGGCAGGAGGTCCCGAAGGACAAAAGGATCCAGGAAGGTCTCCTTCTCTGTTTGGGAAGAGAAGAACACAATAGTGAGTCTACCACACCAGTCTCTAGCTTTCAGATGCTGTGTCTCAGCCTTGTGTGTCTGCACCTTGAGTAGCATGGGCAGCTGATGGATGGTAGAAGGATGTCAGAAAACAAGGCAGCATTTCCCAGGATGTGTTCCCAATGCTAGCACTGGTCATGTTTCCTTTTTTGTTGTTGTTGTTGGTTTTGGGGCTTGAACTCAGGGCCTGAGTGCTTTCTCTGAGCTCTTTTGTTCAAGGCTAGGAGTCTACCACTTTGAGCCATAGCTCCACTTCCGATTTTCTGGTGGTCAACTGGTGATGAGTCTCATGGCCTTTCCTACCTGGGCTGGCTTTGAACTACTCAGATCTCAGCCTCCTGAGTATCTAGGATGACAGGTGTGAGCCACTAGCACCTGGCTCTGGCCTGGTTTCATAAAGGCCAGCTTCCAGGATGGTGAGCAACAGAGAATTCTTCCTTCACCCCAGGAAATACAACATCCTATCGTGGTTTACTTCTCTGAGTAGTAGTACTTCAGGGGGAAAAATTGTCTAGATATTATGTACCCCACTTCTTCTCAGTCTTGTCTTACTATGGAACCCTTCTCTATTCACAAATCATGAATTGATCATAATGAGAAACTCACTGTGGAAGGAATAGCACAGGCCAAAAATGAAGGGCACTTTCAAATATGCATTTATGATTTCACCCAAGGTCTAGCCAAGCATATCCCTTAACTTTAGTGATGATGGTCCTAAAGATGGAGATGTCTTTGCTTAAGGATAAACGACATCTGAGCTGACACCCACTGTGGACATATTACAATAGCTTTCAGAGGAAGGAGGCATGGCAGGAGTTAGTACCTACCTGGGGCCACACAGCTCCCCAAAAGCAAAGTGGGTATTATTAAGGCAGGTATATATTGACTGATGACCACAACATAGTTTCTGACTAAAGAAGCTGAAGTCAGAAATTAGAAGACCAGGAGCAAAAAAGGAAAAATAAAGTGAAGAAAAGCATTTTAGGTTGTGTGGACAATAACTGCGAAGTCCCAGAAGCAGAAAGGAATAGCTCAATAGTGAGTAAGACACTGGCCTTACAAATCTCCCAAGTGGGCTCAGTAATCACCCCACATCCATCTCAAGAGTGGGTTCTTATTCCTTACCCCTTTAGAAACTTAGTCCTGAATTTAAGCCTGAGACTCTCCCCATCCCTGTTAAAGATGTCAATAGACTACTAAGAGTTGAGCTGAAAGTTTTCTTTGGCTATTTATGGCTTCCATTATGGCTCCTATGACAATTCCTGGAGGATCTGGGAGCTCCAACACATCTCATAGACATGTCTGGGCATGTCTTCCAAACTTCATGTCTTCTCTTTTCCCTTCAATCTTTCATACAAAACAACTATGCAGGCACCTGGGCACAAATGTACCCCCAGACTTACCAAGTCTATGGAACTGGGGAACAGTGATGACCAACACTAGGATGATGAAAAGTATAACTTCCGCTTAAAAGAGATCAATGGTGCCTAATGCCAGTGGCACATACCTGTAATCCAAGCTACTCAGGAGGCTGAGATCTGAGGATCTCAGTTCAAAGCCAGATGAAGTGGGAATGTACCTAAGACTCTTATCTCCAACTATTCACCAGAATAATTGAAAGTGGTGCTGTGGCTCAAGTGGTAAAGTGTTAGCCTTGAGCAAAAGAGCTCAAGGACAGCACCTAGGCCTTGAGTTCAAGCTCCACAGCTGACCAAAAGAGGAATAAAAAAAGAGAGAGAGAGAAAAGAAGAGAGAGCAGTGAGTGGAACTGGATTCAGAGATTACCTGGACTTCCTATATCTGCCAGGTACTATTTAGTTACACTCTACAGACCAAGTTGGCCTTGGTTCTCCTGCCTGAACCTCCTTAGTGCTGAGATTATAAACATATACCACCATGCCCAGCTTGATTTCTTTCAAAGGAAAAATTAACTATTAACTAATAAATGAAAAAATTGTCAAATCATTGGGTTCGGCAATGAGAATTCCTGTTGGACAACAGGCTGGAACCAGCAGGGTGGTAGGGTCTGGCTTTAATTGAAACCTAGTTACCAAGGCTTTGGGACGTGGGTGAGCTCTGTAAGCATGCTTGGCTGGGACTGGTTTGGCTGTAAGAAGGAAATATTTTGGCCTCTGTGAGGCTGCTTCTGTGCTTCCTGAGCCGTGTAAATAGCCAACACCAAGCCTGGAGTGACAGAGGGCGTGTAGGGAGGATGGTATCAGCAGCTGCCAAACCACCACCTACTCCTGCCTGCTGCTGGTGAACTTGATGGCAGACCCCTGGCTTAGGATCAGGGGCTCTAATCTAAACAAGGAGAAAAGGGAAAAAACAACCCTGCAACTTTCTCCAGGGGCTTGATCCAACATCAGGGCTGTAACAAAGCCATCTCTGCCAGACATAACCAGGAGGAAAGCCCCCAGCTCAGGCATGCATTCAGGAGGAGGAGATGGCTTTAAAGAGCACAGAAAGAGATGAAGCAGAAAGGTTGGCTTCACTGGTCGATGGGAATGTGAATTCAAGGGGAACCTCAACACAGCTGGAGTAAGATTGGAAAAGAAGTTCCTGTGTGGACTTGTGAATTTGCAGGGACCCGTGGGGAGCTACAAGCGTGGGCCGGGGTGACAGGATGACAGGAGCTTTTGTCTGTGTCTACTCCAGGCCTCAGCTGCAGGGCCTGGCTCTCGCTGGGGGTAGGCCTAGCTACGGGCTGGGAGAGGAGTGAAACTACAGCCAAACTGGGGAGACGCGGAAGATCCTGTAGCTACCCTAGTTAGTGAGGCTGGAAGCCAAAGAACCTTCCCCCCAACCCCCAATCCCGGCAAAATCTTACACTGGGTCAGATTTACCCTGGGTAATCTCACCAACACCTCTGACAGTGAAATGTGCAGATGCTTTCTAACAAGTTGAGCTGGAGACTCAGGGTCACTTTGAAAACCATTAGGGTAGTTCATTAAGGTGAAGGGTGAAGGAACCAACCCAAGGTCAAAGGCTTGTCAAGGAATATCCAAACAACTTGGAAAATTTTGTTTCTAAAAGTCAGTACACGGAGGTTTCAACACAGGGCCTTACCTTTGCTCGGTGGGTGCTCTACCACGTGAGCCACCATCCCAGTTCGCTGTATTCTAGTTATTATTCAGATAGGGTCTTATGGTTTTGCTTGGGGTAGCACATGATCTCCTCATCTATTCCTCCTGATGGGCTAGGACAAGTGTCCAGCTTTTTAGGTGTGTGTGTGTGTGTGTGTGTGTGTGTGTGTGTGTAGGGGGTGGTGTCTTACAGACCTTTTGCTCCAGATGCCCTCAAATCACAATCTTTATTTCAACTGCCTAAGTAGCTGAGATTATAGGTGTGAAACACCTCACGTGGCTCAAGTGGAAGTTACTTCTTCACAGAATCCACAGAGGAACTGGAATAGAGCACCATGTTTGTTGGTCAGGACTCTTCACTAAGAAGGACACTTAACAAAGAAGGTCTAACCACAGTCCCATTCCTGCACCCCACTTTTCTGTTCTAATGGGCCCTGGTAAATAGAGTGGATGTGCAACTTGTCTCTGCTTCAAACCCCAATCCTGCCAACTCCAAACAGCCTTTGCTTAGCAGGGAAGTAAACCTATGTCCCTCTGAGAAGATTAAATAAGCCAATCAGCAAACAGGCTGAGAAAGAATGATTGACATGTTCTTATCCTAATTATTACTATGATTCCTTCAGACCATCCCAATCTAACCATCTACTTCTTTTCATTTTTGGCCCCATGTCTTTTTAATTCTTTCTAATTTGATTCCTCATGCCTAAGGGCCACCATGTCTGACATATTCTCCAGCTGTTTCATGGCCAAATCTGATATTTAACAGCTGTGTGACTTTAGGCAAGGATTTAACCTCTCTGAGCTATTACCATGATTTATAAAATGGCATTTATAGGAATATAGATACCCCTCAGGGTTGCTGCGACAGTTAGGAAGCGAATGAACGTGAGGGGTTTACCCCAGTGCCTGACCCATACATAAGCTCTGGTTTATCCGGGCAAGTACTGTGCCCAGAGCAATCAGCAAAGTTCCAGGCTGCCTCCTTCTGTGTTTTAAACCAGGGATTTGCAGACATTTTCTGCACAGCATCAGATAGTAAATATTTTCAGTTTTGCAGTCCAAGAGGCAAAAATCAAAGATGTTATATAGATACTTACATAACAAACCTCCTTATTAAGGATACAGTATTCAACATTCTAGTAATAACTGAGTACAAGCTTTAAAATGTATGTCTATTAATGAGAAGAATGTAATTCTTTCTCAGGGTTATAGTTTCACTTAATGAGGGATCAGATGCAAACAAAGGCTCCTTAGTCCACTGGGCACACAAAATAGACAGTGGATGATCTGCCCCTCAGTTGTACTTTGCCCGTTTCTATTTTTTGGGGTGGGGGGCAGTTGTGGGGCTTGAGCTCTGGGCCTGCACCCTGTCTTTGAACTCTTCTGCTCAAGGCTAGTACTCTACCACTTTGAGCCACAGCACCATTTCCAGTTTTCTGGTGGTTAATTGGAGATAAGCGTCTCAGGGACTTTCCTGCCTGGGCTGGCATTGAACCACAAGCCTCAGATCTCGGCTTCCTGACTAGCTAGGATTACAGGCCTGAGCCACCAGTGCCTGGCCACCCAGTTCTGTTTTAATACAAGCATGGGAAGGGATCTAAAGTAAAAAATCACCTAGATGGCGCACCAGCCATGGGTGAGGAGGCTCTGCTGCCTGCTCAGAGAGTTGCCATCACTGAAAAATCATTTGTTTTGTGAATAATACGGTAAAGAAGTCTGGTTTTGGGTGTGGGTGTGGGGTTTGAGACAGGGTCTTACAGTGGCCCAGACTGATCTCAAACACATGGCTCTCCTTCTTTAGTCTCCCAAGTGCTGGGATTACAGATGTAAGCTATCACACCCAACTTACAGAATTAACCTGATGTAAGCTA